TAAGTAGATAGAAGACGGCTTTGGGTATATATGAATAAGATCCCTATATACCCCATATTCTATCTACTTAGGGGGGACTATACCTTTGAAGGATTGCCCGCAAAGAATGGAATTTAGGGTATAGGGTTTAGAGTTTGGGGTTGAAGCTTGAGGGTTAAAGGTTTTCTGGCTTGGGGTTCAATGGGCATCCCTTCCATGAGGTTCCTCTGCTTTCCAGTTTCCTGGGATCCGCTCCCAAACCTAAACCCAAACCCTTAGATCTCGTTGTCTGCTTCTATGTATATAATCTATTATTAAAGCCCCTAGAAAGCCTCAGAGCACATGCGGCTTAAGGTTTGGGATGGGATATACTCGGATGTTTACCTCCTTCAAAACCGTGTTATTAAAGGAGGCCACCAGCCTAAGATACAAGCCAAAAGCTCCTAGACCCTGAACCCTAAACCCTGTAAACCCTGAACCCTGAACCCCTAAACCCTAAACCCTAAACCCCAAACCCTAAACCCCAACCCTGGTCCTGGTCCCTGATTAAACCCCAGGCCCTAAGCCTTGACTTGACCACAAAGCCGAAACCCTAAACCTCAAGGCCAAGACCCTAAACCGTAAACCCCCAAACCCTAAACCCCAAAGGCTCGACCCTAAACCCTAAACCCTACAGCCCAAGGCCTCAACCCTAAACCCTGGGCTTAGGGTTTAGGGGTTTGGGGTTTAGGGGGGTCAGGGGTTTAGGGGTTTGTTTAGGGTTTAGGAGCCTACACACCTAAAGGCGACCTGCATCCGCTGTTGTTCCCGTAGTGGGTGCTGCCATGTGCTCCATAGTAGAAGAAGCGATCATCCTCCGTCTATAGGGCTTATTGTCAAGGGCGGCCCTAAACTCTGCTTTAGGGTTTAGGGTTTAGGGTCTAGGGTTTAGGGTTTAGGGTTTAGGGTCATGGGAACTTAGAAGTAATGGAAGAGAAAATGGAAACAAGTCTAGAATTTGGGGTTTGGGGTCTAGGGTTTAGGGTCAGGGGAATGTAGAAAGTATACTTCTAACCCCTATAAGCCATATAATAACCCCAGTTCTCCCCAATGTTAACCTACTTACTAATTTAAGTCCCCCTGAAGCTCCAAGTAGACTCTAGGTTAAGGGCTTGAAGGCGTTAGACTTTGGAGTTTGAGGGGTGGAGGGTTGGCATTTCTTAGGTTTTAGGGCGTAGGGTTTACGAGTCTCAGGGTCTAGGGCTAAGGAATCCTGAAACCTGAATCCAAAACCCTAGGGTTTGGGGCTTAGGATTTAAGGTTTAGGGCACCCTAAACCCTATACCCTAAACCCTAATCCAAAACTTTAGGGTTTAGGGCTTAGCGTTTAGGGTTTAGGGTATGAAAGCCCTGGGGCCCTCCTTCACCGAGCAGTTCCCCACGATGTTACGGCCCAGGGAACCGACACGCCGAGTGCGCTCGGCAGGGAAGATGTTCTGCGACCTCTCAGGCGCAATCCCCTAAACCCTAAACCCTAAACCCTAAGCCCTAAGCCCTAGCGACGCAGGTCCGAGACTAGTATATTTCTGGGCAACGGGTCTTGCTACGAGCGCTACCACAAACGAACAACAGAGCGCAAATGAACTGGCCGCGGCAAGTACCACCTATCCCAGGCTCAGATCACATCATCCCCATCCACCACAATCGCCCCTTCACCCTAAACCCTAAGAACCTAAACCCTAATCCCTAAACCAATACAGCCCAAACTTATTGGTTGTTGGTAGGGAGTGGTGGAAGGGATCCCACAGATGATCATCTATAGCCTAGAACGATATCATAGCTTCCGTGTTTCCATTCCCTGAAAACTTAAGCCTCAATAGTAGCTTCCATGTTCTGTTCCATTCCTCCATTCCCCATAAATCAAGCAAGCAACCCTTACAAACCCCACTACAGAAACCCATCATTGTTTCCCAGTATGATTCTCCAGTATTGGGGGACCACATCTCTGAACCCTCATATAACCCCTATATTTTCCCCATACATGCAACCCTACATCATCCTGATATAATCCCATAACCCCTATAATATCCCTATAGATTCCTACATAATCCGCACCCTACACCCTGAGCCCAAGAACCATTAATCCTAAATCCTAAACCCTACATCCCTTCATCCCCAGCAAGAAAACACACTCCCAGCCTGGGCGCCCCCTGAAACGGGATCACGAAGCCGCCGGTGACGCTGGCAGGCCAGGTTGCCTTCATCCCGGAATTTATAGGGTTTAGGGGCAATATGAGGAATATCTAGGGATTACTTGCACATGTGGGAATGCCCTCTCCTGAAAAGAAGAATTAAGGGTAAAAAGGGCATGGAAAAGAAAAGGTAACTACGCCATCTGGGGTTTGGGGCTTCTTTATTATGAACCGCCCACCCCTTAAAAATCAATATTCCCTATTAGATTATGATACCACATTGCGAGTACGTGTCGTTGGGGTAGGTGGAAATTGTATATTAGGCGTGCTTACTTGATGTATGAGGTTGTCTAACCCTTCGGACTTGCGTCAGCTCACGCTACGGGTACTCATATGGTACCTCTTCGTAGGAGTTTAGGGATTTGGGTTTTTGAGGTTTTCAGTTTGCAGCTTTGTGGATTGGTGTTTGGAATCTACAGGGGCCTAGGGACCCTGGAGATGTTGTTGGGGAATAGTAAGTGGCTTCTGGGGGCCCCTGTAGGAATTTCTTCCGGGTGCCTTTGAAAACTCACATGTGGGGGGTTCAAAAGACGCTGAGTCGGTGCAGGGTATGGACGGAACATATTGGACTTGTATGAGGATCATGGCAAGCTGTAACTGCAGTTGGTAATAGGTATTCTCGTGCGACGAAAGCGCGACCGACGCGGCTTAGGCCCCTAGGAACCCCAGGGGTATCCTAGGACTATGGGGGTCCGTACTGGGGGGAATCTAAGGACCGCTTTCAGAAATACCCGCTTATTAACGACTTCCGGTGAGACGAACAGTGATGAGTACTTGTTTGTGCCTCTGCACTCAGCTGAGCATAGGAACCATTGGGCTTGGGCAGCGCGTACTCCCCCTTGGGGTCCTGGATGGCTCACAGTCTAAGCGCAGGGGGGGTTCAGGCACGGGGTGTTGGGCGTCAGAGTTCTTGGGATGGATTCGCAGTATAGCTCGTACGGGATTGGGTATAAGTAGCCACAGCACCTCGAGCGTAGTTATCCTAAATGAAATTTCAAATTCATCAGTCTGAATATGCGAAACGAAGAGCTGCCTGGCTACAGTAAGTCTTCTTCTGGAAGGTTGAGGCGGTAGCAATAAGTTGTGTTACTAATAGGATTACTCTACTTTTAATGGGAAACCCTCCACCCTAAGCGCAAAACCATGAAACTTCAATCAATTAACCCACTTATTTATGGGAAACCCTAAGCCCTAAGCGGAAAAAAAAAACATAAAATCTTAACTACTAATTAACCTACTTGTGAATGGGACACCCTAAGCCCTAAGCGCAAAACCCATGAGGAGGGACCACAAAACTCCAAATGAAGACACGTGAGAAGGTGTGTGCCTAGGTCAAGATGTCTTTGATCTGGGGGGGGATTAAGGTTCAGGGTTCTGAAATCCTCTTAGACCTATAATAATTAGAGTACAACCATTAACGATTTCTTGAGCTTATACTATAGAAAAATATCGCTAACAATTCCTTCGGGCTATACTATTATACTATAATATCTTTAGGAAATTTAAGGAGACTAGGGGGTTGAGGGTTGGGGGTTTAGCGAGGCGTGGGGAGGGGGTCCAAAACAAAAGGGGGTTATAGGCATTATAAAGGTCTGCAAGAATCTAGCGGGCTTCGGGTTCGCAAAAACCAAGGAGAACCCCATTGGAGTGGAGCTACCTCAAAGTCCATGGATACAGGACCAGGGTTCAGGGTTGCAAGTGAAATGTAAGTGCCTAGACAGGACTAATCTTTCAAGCCACCCAAACCCTAAACCTTGAACCTCCAGCTAGGACCAGTTCTCACCTGCATTGTGTGTCAGGCCCTGCTCTTTCATCTATACCTATGCTATTGGTCGCTATCACAAAATTCCAGGATGGTCAAGCTTATCATGTACCTATATGGGGGATACCAGTATAGAAACCCTACTATATGCTATCTAAGCTATAATCTAAATTCCTAGCATCCCCCTTAATAACCCCCGTAATACTCCCCTATAGAACCCCCTGTAAGGAGTTTAGACTATAAACCCTAAACCCTAACTAAATCCTAAATCCTAAATCCTAAACCCTAAACCCTAAACCCGAACCCTAAACCATAAACCCTAGGATCCAATGATCCCCATTTTACCTCTACAGACATCGAATAAACACCACAACATTCTGGACAGATGGACAGTCCTGCCCGCAAGCCCCATAGGACAGTGCTCTGGTGGCTGAGTTCAGAGTGCCTGCTACCAGGATTCAGGGTTTGGAATTTAGGATTTAAGGTTGAGAGGTTGGGTCTTAGGGCTTTGGGTTGGTTTAGTGTTTTGGGGAAACCATGGAGTAGCAGGTTTCCAACGCAAGTCGAAGGCCCCAGACCAAAAAAATCCAGGAAACTACCATCGATATGCAAGTTTGCTTGGATGGCAGGGAGGTGCTCTCAAGCCCATGGGGAAACTACAGAACTTAAGGCGTGATCATGGTTTGCTTTGTGTTCAGCTTGGTAGGTATAGTTCGAAACACTAGGTGGTATCCGTCATAGTCATCACAAGAGACTATAGGACATTACCTGGATACATCTTGGGCTTAGCATGTTTTCCCCTACCTAAACACGAATACTCCTCTACATAATCCCAGTGCCCATGCCATCTTCCATCCCTTTTCCATCTGCTTCTCCATTATTCATTTTCCCCGTAATATTCCCGTATGAGCTCTATATCACCCATTCTAGACCCTTACAATTCATGACTACGACCCCAAGCCCCACTACAGTGCCTTCGGAGTGGTCCACGCCAAAGAGTCGATGTCGTGTGTCTCCCACAGCGGATGTCTTCAGTGCATGGTAATCCTCCCATCCAAGGTGGGCATTCGCATGGTGGCAGTAGTATGAGGGCCTCTATTTTGCAAAATAGCGGGTTGGCTCATATATATAAAACACACGAGAAGTACAAGAGGAAACCCATCTTCCTAATGCATCTGGCGTCTTCATTTCAGGGTATGGTGCTTGCGACAAATATCAATCTCAAAGCAACACCGCAACAGCCCTGAAGCCTGGCAGGAACCCAGGCAGGAAACGCCAGTAATATCTACAATGAGAGTTATAAGATAATTTGGAACAATGTAGAAGTAACAGTGGTAATATATTACTAATAATTGCAGGCAATCATAGTAATAAGAACCATAGTATCACAGTAGCAATATTAACATGACAGCAGTTGGTGATGACTGGAACTTTCCCTACCTGAGCAGCAACTCCGTGGTCCTCTCGCGTTCGATGCCGCTCGCGGAAATCGTGCACCCCGAAGGTGACGCCACGGTTCTCGAGACTCGTCATGGCTCAGCAAAGGAGGACAGAATCCAATAACCCCAAACCCTAAGCCCTAAACCTCCAAAGCCCTGGAAATGGCCGTTCTCTGTAGGAAGCAAACATTCTGCGTAGAACCTTGTCCCACAGAGCATTCTGCACTGAGGGGCTATGTCCAAGAAGCTTTGAGAGAAGAGCAAGGCAGGCGCGGGTGTAGGGTTTAGGGCACATTCGACCCCGGCAGGGCTTGTATCCTCCTTACTACTTCCCTTACATAATCCTCTATTCAAACCCCTGAAAGGAGTTTAGATTGGCTCATCTAGGAGGTCTAAGGACTTGTCGCTAGTCGACCCCCTGGCTCTCTCCTTTGTGGTTGCCAAGTAGGCTACATGCAATTTTTAACCCCAAAAAACTCCAAACCCTAAAACCCTCAATCCCCAAACCCTAAAAACCCTACACCCTATATAAAGCCCTAAACAACAAAAGCCCTGAACCCGAAACTAAACCGAATCGAGGGAGATCTCAACCCACTCCCTTTTGAGAACCGTATAAGACCTGACAAATGGATAGGTCCCCCAGTAACCCCACAATCATAAGGGTACCCTTTTTCCTGATATTCAGCTTTAATAAGGAGGCCCCAAAATAGAAAGGGAAGTAAGGGTACTACTGGGGTAATTACCTAGATGGGGCAGCACAAAAGCCACGTTCCCAGGCTTGGCTTCTAGGGTTTAAGGTTTCGGGTTGAGGGTCATTGGTAAACTTCCTCTGACTGGGGGTTTGCTCTTCAGGGACATATCCAAGAGGTTCAGCATGTGCTACCATAGTCAACTGTAGCATTGGCTGGTAAACCCTAAACCCTAAACGCTAAACCCTAAACTCTAAACCCTAACCTTGAGAAGTACCAGCGGGCGTTTAAAGTCGCATGCCGCATCACTGTACAGCCTTGGCGTGGGCCATGGGCTGCCCAGGGCTCGCAAGTGCTCAAACGTGCTATCAGTAAGTTATCGATAGCTTTGTGGGTTAAAAATCATCACCTGGAAGAACTTACCCTTATCGGTAGTTTTCCTCTGGTTTTTCGGTGAAGGCCTTTTATGAAAGGGGCAATAACTTAAGGGACCTGCCAAGACTAAACCAAGAGGCTCGGGGTTATTTCACTGCCCAAGATGTTCATCTCTGTCCATGCTCACTCTAAGCAATGAGGGTTTATAGCGCAATGGGCTTTCTGGGTCTGCGGATTGGGTGTTCCAGAACGGAGTTGTAGGAAAACGGGCATTAGGTGATCAGCCTCTCCGCAACCTCTAAGAGACCCCCCTAAACCCTCAGCCCTAAATTCGACAGTTCCACCAACTTGAAGCGGGAAACCCAAACCCTGCAACTCTCAAACCATTAAAACCCTGGACCCCCCATCCCCCAATACCCGAAAGAATCCTTAGCCCTAAAGCCCCATCTACCGCAAAACCACCGCCAACAGACAAAAATACTGAAACCCCTAAACCCTAAACCAACAAACGCTGAAACCCCTAAACCTAAACACAAAACGCTGAAACCCCTACACCCTAAACCAACAGCCTTGGGGTCGCCCAAATCTGCCAGCGCAGCCACGAACTCCGTCCAATCTAAGGCAGGAGGGGCACTCTGAGCCTTGCAGCTACAGCTTAAGGGTTTAAAGGGCTTTAGGGTTCAGGGTCTAGTGTTTAGGATCCACAGCTTAAGGGTTTAAGGGCTTTAGGGTTTAGGGGTTTAGTGTTTAGGATCCACAGCTTAAGGGTTTAAGGGCTTTAGGTTTGCGCTTTGCGCTTCAGGGGGTATGGGGCTCATGGTTAAAGGATTAACAGAGTGCTCCAAAATTCCTGGAGTAAGGATGATTCGCTTCTATCTTGTCTATATGAGCCATTGTCCAAACTCCCAGCATCCCCTTTAATAACCGCTATAGTAGTACACTATATAACCCCATATATAAGCCCCTTTAAGGAGTTTAGACTATTGCTTATGTGCCAGTACTTGGGGGTGATGTCGGATGTGGTCTTGCTACTGTGCCCAGACAGGAACTAAGAGTTGATAAGATTGAGTTCATACAGGCCTTAAATCGTTACCAATATGATTTCAGGGTCTATTTGAGGTATCTTATACAATAGTTCTGACGGAACCTAAAACCAGATGTTTTTTCCCCTTGTTCAGGCTTCTGAATCAGGAGTGGGGGGGTTCAGGGATTGTGGGTCAAGGGTTTGGGTTTGTTGGGTGGTCTGAGTTGTAGAAGATTGCGATGATTCCAGAGTGTCAGCATGCTTTGCTGTGCTGGCTCTACACATGCTCCGCACAATCCCTTTTCAGCACACACACCCTACGTCCCCTGTACAACCCTAAGCCCTAGATCAGATCAGTCCTCAAGCTCAAGCCCTCTAGCCTAAAACCTCAAGTATACGCACCACACCCCAAACCTTGTAAACCTTAAACCCTAAATCCTAAACCTAAGCCACTCTCCCCCTCTGCCGGAGAACCAATGCGCCCGCTGCGCGGCCCGCGCGCGCAGCGCCGACCACTGGACGAAGAGCCTCACCTAGGCGCTGAAAGTTTAGGGTTTAGGTTCTAAGGTTTGTGGTTATATAAGTGTTAGGCGTTGGGTTGAGGCGTAAGGTGGGAGTTCCCTAGTGGAATATTACCAACAACTACAATTCAAGTTCCTTGTGGGGTTTAGTTACATGGGGACCTTACTGTTCTAAAAACGAACATTTCACACTGGGACCCGTTTTATAATTAACCGGAACCCCAAAATGAGGACCCGGCGTATACTAATTTTAGACCAGCCCCAATACTACAACCATAAAGGACTGCTTGACCCTAAACCCTAAACCCTAAAATACTACAACCATAAAAAACTGCTTGAAAGAATTCAACCCGGCCATGAGTGTCAGCTTCGGGATTAAGGGTGTAGGGGCCTAAACAGTCAGAGAAGGCGTTTAGGAGAAAGGGGTTGAGGGGTTTAGGGGTTTAGGGTTTGAGGGTTTAGGGGTTTAGGGCTTAGGGTTTGGGGCCCAAGGAAAACAGGATTGGTGTTTAGGAGTTTGGCGCATACTATCCGTGAATCATGCCGCCTTGTGCCGAATCAATCATTCAGGCTTGTACCGGAGCTGGCAGGGTCTTGGTACCTTCTGTAGGGATGTCTTTGTGGACTACCTCTGGCCTGAATGTATACATATATATACACACATATATAAATATATGCATACATATATCCACATGTAGACACATATCCCTAGATGTGTATCAGCCTCATGTACGGGCCATAGTACCATGTCGGCGTGCGGGCTGAATATCCAAGGACTGTAGTGGGGACAGCAAAGAAGGAATCATAAGGATTTAGTAGGCATGGAGTAGGAGAAAAAGGACCCTTGTAGGTATGTTCCTAGCTCATTCCCACTACGTTCTAGGTTTTCCCTGTCTTGGGGTTGCCAACAAAAGTCCCTTGAGAGTAGCCAAAAGGGTGCCTTGAGGTGAAGAGCGATTCCCCCAGACCAGACAGGATTGGTTGACAAGCTACGCTCTGAGAAATCTCTTCCCGCCAAAAGTCAAGCCTAAACCCAGCTTTGAGGAAGTCCTTCAACCTTTGTCGTTAAACCCTAAACGCCTAGACCCTAAACCCTAAACCCTACACCCTAAACCCTAAATCCTGAAGCCTACACCCTAATCCCTAAACCCTATAAACCTTAGACCTTGAACCTGAATGAACCTGAATTCCTTGGCCGCAGTGGCATAGACGGTCTGGAGAGATGCCAGCACCAGGGCCACCCAGAGCTTCGAAGAGACGTCTCGCGGGTGGTCTAAACAGCTTTAGGGCCCATAGGGTTTAAGTTTTAGGGTTTAGGTTTTAGGGTTTAGGGTTTAGGTTTTAGGGTTTAGGGTTTAGGTTTTGGGGTGGAGGGTTTGGGTTTTAGGGTTTAGGGTTTAGGTTTTAGGGTGGAGGGTTTAGGGCCTAGCTGTTAGGTTTAAGGGTTTAGATGTTAGGGTTGAGGGTTTTGGTTTAGGTCTAGGGTTTGGGGTTTACTGTACAGCGCTGGGATCTTGCAGTTACAGGCTTACAGTTCAGGGATGGTGCTCACAGTTCAGCCTTTTTCTCGGTAGTTGACTTCTTCTGAAAAATCCGGTCACCACAAGGAGAACAAAATCTGTGACTGGCGCATGCCTGCTTCAAAATACCCTGCCGTTGAATTGGTTGAACTATCCGAATGATGCTTCTTTGAGATAGTTCGCAGGATTTCCTTTCCGGAAATGCCTATAAAACCTTAACCCTAATCCCTATAAACCCTAAACCCCCCTAAAGCCAAACAATTACTCAGTACGTTCTTGTGCATCCTTAGCAGCGTCTCTCATAGCGAAATCTGGAAGTATGGCAGTTCTAACGGATATCCTGTTGGCGCACCTGGGATTTAAGTGATTCGGGTCCCTAAACCCTGCACCCTAAATCCTAAACTCTAAACTCCCCAAACCCTAAACCCTAAACCTTACAAATGAACCGGTGTTTCAAAGCAGGGCATTCCTAAGCAGTCTCTAAACCCTAAACTTGGGTCCGGCCTCCACCCATTGAGAGTCTATGATAGGGTTTAGGGTTCCCATTAACTGCGTATAATAGGGGTCATATTGAGGAATATATCTATATCATGAAAATTATCCAACTGTTAATGAATTGGGCCAGTACCCAACCCTAATCCCTGAACTTTCTTCCTGTGCAGGTTAGCCAGGCCACATGTTGAAGGATGCCCTGCGGAGCCCTGCACCCCAAAACCCTAGAGCTAAACAGCAAGATGTTCTGCAGCTAAGACCCTAAACCCTAAACCCTCAAAATCCTAAATACGTTCAGTCCTGAAGTTGCAAGATGCCTGCCTTTAACTGGGTGCTGCATTTGCTCTGCATCCTTCCTAGTATCCTTCGTGCTGCTACTGCTGAGATACGTCCTGCCACTATGACGGAGACGACAACTACGACAATAGAAGCCATGATGCTGATTCCCGCCCAGGGTCCAAGTACTCAATAATTCGGTGCTTGGGATTTGGATAATTAATGGAGATTGTAGTAGCACAGATTTGGGGCAAATATATGACTATTGGGTACCAAACCCTAAACCCTAAATCCTGAACCCTAAATCCTACATCCTGTATCCTGTTTTGCCCCCAGCACCTGAAAGTCGGCATCTGGTTGGGCGTCCACTCCATGGCCAGCTTCATTCGAAGACATTTCCTTTCAATACAAACACACCCTAGAAGCCCAGTTACCCACATAGTAGGTTCTTGGGTTATAGATAGTATAAGTTTATATAGGGACCAAAGGACAGGAACCTAATATATAGGTAACTGGGCTCTTAGGGACAGTTTCCATATACAAACACAGTTTCCATTTCATTCATGGTCCATGCTCTTTTCCATTTGATTCTTCCAATTTGGGGGAACACCACCGCCACCCTAAACCGGGCCATCCCTATTCCCTACACCCCCAAGACCCATACAGCCACTATTGACACCTATAGCCCGACCGGGGGCGTTGGCATCAGGTGCCGCAAAAAGATGGCGATTGCTTTGTGGAGCGCTAGTTTCGGATGCATGGCTTACCCAAAGGGTCCATGTAGCTATATGGTATATACTGGGGCCTCAAAGTAGGTACATGGGAACCCCTTTGGGCCCTAAGTATATACCATATACCTACATGGACCCTTTGGGTTAGAGTTTATGGATCCTGTTGAGGCCCAAGGGCTGGAGAACATCCCGATCCCCGTAGTTGGCCAAGCGCTCCGCAAGGTGTCGCGGGATCTCAGGCACCTCGCTTGCCGGGAATGTGCGCGGATGTCACAGAGCAAGTTGTATTGGGGTTATATAGGGTTATATTGGGGTTATAGGGGTTATATTGGGACAATGGAAAATGAGATGGAAGCTGCCTGAGGTCACGGTTTGGGGCTGAGGGTTTGAGGCTTCGCAACGCAGGCCTGCTCTTACTGGTGGTTAGTAGGTAAAGGCGCCAGAACAATCAGCACCAGCTCCAGTACCACCTCTCCCGCCGCCGCCACCACCACCACCAGCACCACCAGCACCAGCGACGCTACAAGCATCACCAGCACCAGCAACCACCACCAGCCCCAGTACCATCACCGAAACAACAATCCTCGCTGCTATTCTATTATTCTATATACTATATACACTACTATACTACATTTTACTAGATCATACTATATGGTAGTTTCCCTAAATAGGGGGACCCCAATATAGACCCCAATATATTATAGTCCTTATTATGGGGACCCCCAAAATCCAAAATGGTACCCTTAATTTTGGGAAACCCTCCCCTAAACCCTAAACCATATTATCATGGCTGGAACTTCTATGCACTTTCCGCCTTCGCTGCCGCTCCAGCAGGAGCCGCTTCGCGGAGGTCAGCAAAGAGGGGATGACAGAGGAGGTCCTGCGGTTTAGGGTTTTAGGGTTTAGGGTTAATCGCACAGCAAGTCCATCAGCCCATGTATGTCTTACTGGTTTTACTAAGGAATATGGGATGAAATAGGGACTATATTCCCTTATGCCCTACTAAGAACAAATAAGATGTTCATTCACCCCGTGGCATCAAAAGCGCAAAGTTCGAAGCCTCTACTCATTGCTACC